AACTTTGAACAGTCCTTTGCTGTGCTACTCTAAGTAAAAATAAACACAGAATAAACTGACACTGAGATTAGGGAGATTAAAAGATAAGACATGTAAAGCACTGAGCTTATATAAGGTGCTCAGTAAATACCTGTTCTTAAATATAGTGCCAGTTTTTGTTAGTGAGGTGGAAATCAGGAGAAAAAAATAAACGGAGGGAGTCCTATTCCTTTTCAGGGTCTCCTGAATATTCTGAGTATATTTATTTCAGATTTATTATCCAACAAGAGAATAAAATACAGAAATGCCTCTTTGTTCCCTATTTAAGTGGCAAAGCTGGCAGGTGACAATAAATCTGAGTCTACATCTAGTCCCACGCTCCCCAACTCTAATCCCAAAACTCCAAGAAAAGCTTCTTACCACTTGGGCTCCGGAACAGGACAGGTGTGGTTGTGTTGTTGGGGTCCTGAGGTGTGGCCTCTAAGTCTGCTTCATCACTACCAGACTCCTCTGCCATGGCTGCTTCTGCTCCCTCCTCTTGCTGCCAGCCCCCTTGCTGTGGCTCTTCAGTCTCAGCATCACTGCCCATTTGACCGGAAAGAGATACTGCCGCTTCTAGGCTATTACAGGGTAGGGCAATGACCTGGGCACTCATCAAGGCTTCCATCTCTTCAAAGAAGGGACAGGTCTCAGGTGGGTGGCCACTCTTGACTTTTCGATAGCTCTTCTGAAGACCCTTGAACTTCGTCCGACACTGTTCAAGGGTCCGAAGGAAGCCATACTCTCGGAGCCGCTCGGCCACGGCCCCATACACTTGGCTATTTCGATGACAGTTTCGGAGAGCCTCATAGAACTCGGTTTGGCTGAGAATTGCAAGTAGAGTTCTGGTCTCTTCATAGCCCCAGTGCACACCTGCTACCTTCTCATCCTCAAAACTCCAGCGGTCCTGCTCCACATAGCTTCTCTCTCTCTTGGATAGCAACAGATCAGCATGCACTCTTCTATCTCCTGCGTGGCTGTCTCTTGGGAGTTCTTTATCTTTGGAGCCCAGCGAAGCTAGGATCCATGGCTCTGCCTGCTCCAACCTGGAGGCCGTGTCAGATTTAGGAAATGGAAATCCTGCTTGCAGGGAAGCAAACAAAGGGTGTCACAGTTTGGACTGATCATAAAAAATATCTCTGAATTCAGTCCCACCTTTTTAATCCAAGGTATTCTAAAGTAAGTATCTAGGGAAATCTTTCAGAAAGTTCAGTAGTTTGAAGAAAGTGTGAAAAATATGGGAAACCTAAAAGATAGGAAATACCGTATTTTCCAAAGTAGGTTGCCAAGAGAGGAAAAGGTTTAGTTGTGTGTTCAGAGCAGATAATGTTACCCCAAGTTACTCCCTAGCCTTCCTGATGACTTGTTTGCAGGTCCTAGTACTGCAGGGAACAGTTACCTCTTTCACTAGGGGCTACAGAATTAAACAGTGATTTCAAGAAGGAAAGGGAGGGAGGGGAGACTGTCTTCAACTTGTCCGTTTCCTTCACACTTACTCACTGCACTCTAAAGATGTTGCCCTTAAATGCCTTTCCTCTTCATTCCTACTGCCACCATCCAAATCCAAGCTCCTCCTCTTCTCACAGCTGGAAAACTGCAGCAGTCCCCGTCCTAACTCCAGGCTTGCTCTTCCTCAGCCCGCGTACTGTCCTGCTGAGCCTCACCTTAGTTTCTAGCATGCACTGTCCATTCCCGTTGGACTTATGTACCACTCTGTGCCATTTCTTTAACTCTCTCCTTCTATGCAAATGCAAGGAGCTATGTTACCAGTGCCCCCAAGAGGCCTTTCTACAGCCTCCTTCATCTTCGACTTTGCCAAATCTCTATAATATTAACACCGTAATACACAATTAAGCAACAGATGATTGACACTTTCAGTACAGTTCAGTTCGGTACATACTTAAAATTTGCTGTTGTGTTCTCAATCTCAGTGAGTTCTTTGGGGATAGGCACCTTTTATTGCAGAGTCCCCTGCAAGGTGTTAAGACATAATAGGTGCCCAGAAACAATAATTCTGCAAGTGTGTGTGAGGTTGGGGGATTTCCTGTGGATGACTAAACAGAGACCATTACTAAATGGAGAAGGCTCTCTTCTTAGATGACAAACAGAATCTAAAATAACTACACAATGTTTAAATGAAATGAATCAAGTGGAATTCAATAGAAGAAAGAGAAGACAAATTAAGTTCTATAAAATCAAGACCAAGTAAAAAAGCAAGGCACTTGGCAAAGCTGAAAGTTCTGAGAGTTACTGGGTGAAAAAATTATGTAATTCTAAACTGGACTGTACTGAAACAAGATATAGGAATACTTTGAAGTAAAATTCATAGCCTCTAATATAACCTCACTAGGAATATGTAGGTAGGTATACGTGTGTATACGTGTGTGTGCATGTGTGTAGAGAGAGAGAGAGAGGTAGATAATAGATATAATTTAGTTCTCCACAATTAACCTACTCCACAATTAACCTATTTGGAAAACTTAAGGTTTTAAAGGAGAATAACAGAAATTAAGATCTAAAGAATGAAGCTTCTGGGAAGAAACTTTAAAAAAAGTTTAATTTGGAGAAGGAAAACAAAGACAGATGTGCCTTCAAGTATGGAAAGTAATTTTTACCTAGAAAATAGTGACATACTATCATCCTTGCCAAGAAATAAAATAGTTCCAAATTCTGATAAAAACTAGGGAGCCATTCTCTAGGAGAATTATCAAAAGAGGAAATGTAAGAGCACTCACTGCATCAGAGGCCTAACCTGCGTGTCTTCAGGAGGTCCCCAAGAACCACATATTCTACAATTTCCACTCATTCCTAAAATCCCTTTCCCACTCACTCTTCCCGACCCTACTTCCCGATTAGAATGGCACTGTCTTCCCATATGAAGCTACTCCTCACCGCTCCTTTGAAAACGTCTGAGCTTCTCCTTTGGATTCATCTGCTCCTGTGGTCCCAGGTCTGGGCTTCTCGCCCTCTCTTTCTTGGGTACACCCCTGGGCGGGGGTGCCACTGACTCCTGCCGACCACTTAATAACTCTCGTGATGATTTCAGGGGTGCCATCTTCTCCAAGCGCACATCCTGCCCCTTCACAGAGACTGTGACCTAGAAACAACCCCCATTGATTGTCACTGCAGAGTCATAAGGAGGGGCATTCCCGGAGGATATAACAGTATCCCAAAGAGATCATCCTTCTGGGACACAGCTGGGGTTGTAGGGGTGGGGAAAGTTATGGCAAACAAGAGCCTTCTTTCATAACCCTTAGCTTAGAGCAGTTGGAACTCCAGAGGAAAAGATCAAAATAGAAAACCCAACTACAGGCTGAAAAAAATAAATTAAAAAAACCCACCTGCCTTTCACCATAAAATAGGAAACTAGGAAAAACTCGTAACAGGAGACGCAACGGTACACCCAGGTAGCACCTCCGACAAGTGCTCTCTGAAAAACTACTTGTTCCAGACCAGAAGTACAGGCATCACCGTGGGAGACTGTGCCCCTCTTTAAGCCTGTCTGTCCCTTCCCAATCACACACTTCTGCACACGCCACCCGCACCCCTCTTCTCACCGAACGTCCAGGTCCTCCAGGCTGTCTTTCTAAATCTTCCACCATTGTCACTGCCTCCTCTCCATTTTCTGGACACCGCTCCTGTAGCCAGTTCTGGATCTCCCCAGGCAAGACAGTCAGGAATTGCTCTAGCACCAGCAATTCTACGATCTGCTCCTTGGTGCGCACTTCCGGCCTTAGCCACCGGCAGCAAAGTTCCCAGAGCTGGCTGAAAGCCTCCCGGGGCCCAGCCACCTCCTGGTAGTGGAACCTCCTGAAGCGCTGCCGAAAGGTCTCCGAGTTAGTGCCATTCCCTCTCAGGGCGGGGTTGGCCATCATTCCAGCAGAAAGCAGCGGCCCTCCGCTCAGGGCGTGGGTTCCAGGGCTTACTCCTATCTTCCCATGTCCTTGGAGAATCACCTGCAGATAAGTCTCTGTCTGTGAGAGGAGTCTCTTTCTAGGGTAGAGAGAGAGAGGACACTATCAGAAGGAATATATTCATACGTCTAAAGCCTTGTTAGAGCTGGCCTGACTTCCTACATGCTCCAAGTAGCCGCGTGAGGCAGCGCCTTCAGGGCGATAAGCCAACACGGAGCATGAAGGAGAAAGACCTTTCAAAAGCTGTGTTTCTGGACAGCCCCAGGAAGCAGAAAACAGCACTGCCTTGCTCCTTTCCCACCTCCCCCAGATCTGCTCCCATTTCATTCTCCTGATCAGTGTTGCACAGTGAGTGCCAGCCATATGGGAAGCCAGGATCTAAAAGCAAGTCACACGGCTGAAGGCAACAACAAGCCTCTCTGTCCAGCGGGTAGCAGCTGATCTCCCCCAGTGCCTCCGCCCCGCCCCTCTCACTCCGCAACTACCAGTGCCCACCACCGACAAAAGCCGAGTCGGGAATATCGGGTCTTTGTTTTCCCTTCCCAGCAAGGGGTCGGGGGCTACTGACGGGAAACCGCGTGCATCGGGAGCAGCTGCTGTGGGTGGCTCCTGAAGCAGGCACCGGGTGGGCCTGGGGAGCGTCTCACTGAGTTGGTGAGGAGCGGGGGTCCGAGGGGCAGCAGGAATGGGTCTCCTGAGGACGAGCTCGGTGCTGACTAGGGGCTCCAAGTGCGGCGGACTCGCGGGCGCTGAACTCCGCTCAAGGATCAGCGGGTGTGCGGCTCCGGCCTCTTTGTCTTCGCTCCCTCCGGCCGGGTCACTCCCGGAGTCGTCCTGCAGTTCCTCCTGAGGCCTCTGATAGGGTCAAGGCGCCCTGAGAGCACCCTCCGGTCCACATCTAGGAGCGTCTGTCTCTGGGACTGTCTCTCTAGTCACTCGCATAACTGACCCCCGCTCAGCCTCTCCCACTCCGGGATCAGCCCCAGCCAGGACTCTCACACCACCCAGACCAGCTCCCAAACCGGAAGTCCGAGCGGGCAACTCGGGGGCGCCGAAGGCGCATGCGCCGGGAGCGCTGCGCAGACCGCAAGTCGGCAGCAGCGCGGCTGGAGCTGGCGCGAGCTAAGCGGAGGGCCGCGCGGAGCCCGGCGCACTTCCGGGACCCGGCGCGCGGTCACTTTCGCCGCCTAGCCTCCTCTCCTCCCGCAGCCGTGGTCCGGGCGGGTGCAGTCGGAACGAGCCGCCGGAGCTAAGGGCGTGCGTGCATGTGGAAGGAGGTCCTCGCCCCCGTGTTCTCCTGAGAGGACGCTGGAGGAGAGGGTCACGTCCCCAGAGACTCGAAGTCCGCCGTGGGCATGATCCACGAGCTGCTCTTGGCTCTGAGCGGGTACCCGGGCTCCATTTTCACCTGGAACAAGCGGAGTGGCCTGCAGGTACTGTGCGGCTGAGAGCGCGGGAACGAGGGAGCAGACTCGGCTGACCTGAGCCACTGAGGGACCCGGAGGGCGGGACCTGCGGGGGCTGGGGCCGCATAGAGGGCAGCCCCCCACGGCCTAAGGGTGAGGGAAATGCTAGCATGAGAAACCGAGGACAGACCCCCCCAACAGCCCTGCCTTGCCGCGGGGTGTGGGGACAGGGCGTAAGGTGGCGGTGTCTGAATGACAGGTACAGGGGGCCTGGTTATAAGTGAGGAAGGCACTTAATCCTGTTCACTTTCACTCCAGCATTCTGAGCTTTGCATTCTGGTTCAGAAACACAGCGCCCAGCAAACTTGACTGAATGGAAAAAGAGATTTCAAGAGCGTGTGGAGCGTTTCCCTCCTGACTCTTTTCCCAAAATATACCTGCACCAGGTGGAGAACTTGCTTGGGGGTCTTCGTGTTACCAGGAATGAGAGATGTATGAGGAGGAAGAGTCATGTGATATCCATAGATAGTTAGGGCGTAGGTGAGCTCCTTTAATCCACACGACCACTTGTACCCATTTTACAGATTAATTGGGGCACAGATCCGTAAATATTCCCCTGTGTCACATACCTAATAATTATCTTAGTTGTTTTTTTTTTTTTTTTTAGATTGATTTATTTGAGAGGTAGAGTTACAGACAGTGAGAGGGAGAGACTGAGAGAAAGTCACTCCCCAAATGGCTGCAACGGCCGGAGCTGCGCCAGTCCGAATCCAGGAGCCAGGAGCTTCTTCCAGGTCTCCCCCGCAGGTGCAGGAGCCCTAGCACTTGGGCCATCTTCCACTGCTTTTCTAGACCATAGCAGGAAGTTGGATCGGAAGTGGAGCAGCCGGGACTCGAACCGGCGGCCACATGGGATGCCGATACGGCCAGTGGAGGCTTAGCCCAGTATGCCACAGCGCCAGCTGTGTTGGTAACTTTAAGGAATTGTTTGCTGTTCCTGCTCCAGTAATGTTACCCATAATTTTTTTTAAAATTTTCTAAAACTATGTCAACAGGAAATCTTATTGGCAGAGCTATCTTGATGATAAGAATTGCTTGTATGTTTTGAGCACCCAAGGTCTCCCACATGGGTGCATGGGCCTAAGCACTTGGGCCATTCTCTGCTGCTTTCCCAAGCACATTTTTCCCAAGCATATTTCTCCAGTATGGGATGCCAGCATCGCACTCAGTGGTGCACCCTGCCACACCACACTGCTGGCCCTGGCGCATGTGCTTCATGTGTATTCTTCTTTTTTTTTTTTTAAATTAAACATTTATTTATCTTGAAGAGTGACAGAGAGGGAGAGACAGAGCAAGAGATCCTCCATCCGTTGGGTCACTCCCCAAAATACCACAGGACACCAGGGCTGGGCCAGGCTGAAGTCCGGAGCTTGGAACTTCATCTGGGTCTCCTACAAGGTTAGCAAGGGCCCAAGTACCTAGACCATTTTCCACTGTTTTCCCAGGCACATTAACAATTCAATACTCACAATTATTGCCTCTGTAAGAATCAAAACTGAGCACAGAGAGGTACATTAACTTGGCTTAGCTATGAGGCAAGTAGGAGGCAACTCACAGATTCAGACTGAAGTAGTCTTATTCCAGGGATCAAGTTCTTAAGCACTGTTATACCACTTCATAAACTATTGGCTTGAAGATATAATTAGTATTATGTCATTAAGATCTACATTAAATGAATTCCTAATTAGGTTATTGTGGACTCAGTAACAAAAATTGTCCTTTGCCTATTTATGACCACATTTATGGGCATATAAAGATGGCATCAGGGGCCAGCACTGTGGCGTAGCGGGTAAAGCTGCTGCCTACAGTGTCCACATCCCATATGGGTGCCAGTTCTAATCCTGGGTGCTGCACTTCCAATCCAGCTCTCTGCTACGGTCTGGGAAAGCAGTGGAAGATGGCCCAAGTCCTTGGGCCCCTACACCCACATGGGATACCCGGAGGAAGCTCCTGGCTTCGGATCAGCGCATTTCCGGGCGTTGCGGCAAATTAGGGAGTGAGCCAGCAGATGGAAGACTTTCTCTCTCTCTCCTCTCTCTCTCTCTCCTTCTCTCTCTCTGCCTTTCCTTCTCTCTCTATGTAACTCTGACTTCCAAATAAATAAATAAAATTTAAAAAAAAGATGGCATCAACCAAAGACAATAGTTACAATGTGAATATGTGATGTGTTATAAGTTGCTTTGGAATGGTAGCTTTATCTGATTTTGTGTACTTTTTAAATCTCAGAATGTTAGCACAGTACTTGGGGTATAGTAGGTGTTCATTAAAAGTTGATTGATTTGGGGCTGGCACTGTGGCAGAGCAGGTAAAGCTGCCACCTGCAGTGCCAGCATCCTATATGGGCACGGGTTCTAGTCCAGGCTGCTTCACTTCCAATCCAGCTCTCTGCTATGGCCTGGGAAAACAGTAGAAGGTGTCCCAAGTGCTTGGACCCTGGCACCCATGTAGGAGACCCAGAAGACACTCCAGGCTCTGGCTTCAGATAGGCCCAGCTCTGGCCACTGTGGCCATTTGAGGAATGAACCAACGGATGGAAGACCGACTCTCACTCTGTCTATATCTGTCTGTCTGTCTATCCATCCATCCATCTCTGCCTCTCTGGGCCTATCTGCTGATTTTCCCAGGCCATTAGCAGGGAACTGGATCAGAACTGAAGCAGCCAGGGCTAACACTGTGGCGCAGTGTGTTAAAGCCAGCCTGCAGTGCTGGCATCCCATATGAGCGCCAGTGCAAGTCTCAGCTGCTCCTCTTCCAATCCAGCTCTCTGCTGTGGCCTGAGAAAGCAGTGGAAGGTGGCCCAACTCCTTGGCCCAACTGGATCCCTACACCTACGTGGGAGACCTGGAGGGGGGCTCTTGGCTCCTGGCTTTGGATCAGCTCAGGTCTGGCCATTGTGGTCATTTGGGGAGTGAACCAGTAGAATGGAAGATCTCTCTCTTTTTCTACCTCTCTCTGTAATTCTGTCTTTCAAATAAATAAAATAAATCTAAAAAAAAAAAAAAAAAAAAAAAAAACTGGAGCAGCTAGGACAGCAACCAGTGCCCATATGGGATGCCACAGGTGGCAGCTTTACCTGCTATGCCACAGTACTGGCGCTGAATTTAATATTCTTGTGCATTGTTCGTGGCACTATGAAATAATATCACAATTCCTCTAAAAATCGAACAAATAACATATGATCAAGCAATTCCAGCTTCTGGGTATATACCAAAAAGAAGTAAAGCAAGGACTCAAATGATATTTTTACATACTTTTTTTCCCCAAGATTTATTTATTTGAAAGGCAAAGTTGCAGAAGGAGAGAAAGAGAGAGGGAGGGAGGGAAAGGGAGGAAGATCTTCCATTCACTGATTGATTCCCCAAATGGCCACAATGGCCAGAGCTTGGACGATCTGAAACTAGGAGCCAGGGACTTCTTCCGGGTCTCCCATGTTGGCACAGGGATCAAGCACTTGGACCATCTTCTACTGCTTCCCAGGCCGTAGCAGTGAGCTGGATCAGAAGTGGAGCAACCAGGACTAGAACTGGCACCCATATGGGATGCCGGCACTACAGGCGGTAGCTTTACCTGCTACACCACAGCGCCAGCCCCTAAACACATGTTTATAGAACATTATTCATAATAACCCAAAGGCAGTAGCAGGGCTGGAGCTATGGTGTGGTAGGCTAAGCCTCTCTGCCTGCGGTGCTGGCATCCCTTGTGGGCAATGGTCCAAGTCCTGGCTGCTCCACTTCCAGTCCAGCTTTTGCTTATGGCCTAGGAAAGCAGCGGAGGATGGCGTGGATTCTTGGGCCCCTGCACTCACGTGGGAGACCTGGAGGAGGCTTCTGGCTCCTGGATTTGGATTGGCCAGCTCCAGCTGTTACAGTGATTTGTGAACCAGTGGATGAAAGGAACCTCTCTCTCTCTCTCTCTTTCTCTCTCTCTCTCTCTCTCTCTTCACTCCCCTCCCATAACTCTGCCTCTCAAATAAATAAATGAATCTTTAAAAAAAAAAAAAAAAAAACAAAGAAACAAATGGTAGTAGCGACCAAAATGTCCATCTAGGGATAAAAGGATAAACAAAATGTGGAATATACAAATAATGGAATATTATTCACCTTTAAAAGGAAGGAAATTCTGGTACATGCTGTTAAAGTTGGCTGAACTTCTTGAATACATTGTCCCAGACATTTTTTTCTACTTGAGCTGCTATAAAACTTCTGTGTAGCATATTAGGCTGTCATTTCACCTTCATTTAAATTAAAAATAACAAATATAAGTGAACTTATATGGACAGTTATATAGTGATTTTTACAGATTATAGACTGCTTATATTAATTTTAGATTTTTATTAGATTTTTATTTAGATTTTTATTCTTATTGGTAGGGGGAAAATTTCTTATAAATCCTAAGGATATGTCTGAGAAACTACTGGAGTTTGCAGACCCCAATTTGAGCAGTATTCTTAAAGTTTTTTGTAATCAAACAAACCCTCATATGGACCTAGGCCATCCCAGAAGATTGCATAAGAAGCAGGTAACAGTGGCTGTCTCTGGGAAGGTGGACTTTTTTTAATGTATACCACTTAGTATTGTTTGAATTCTTTACCTTGTGTCACCTATTTTAGTAATAAAATAATCAGTAATAAGGTTGGGGATGGAGAATGACACCTTTGTAGTGGTTTGGAAATACCTTTGCCACCTAGAACTTGGCAACCTTAAGAAAGGAAAATATAGGTCGGTGCTGCGGCTCACTAAGCTAATCTTCCGTCTGCGGCGCTGGCACCCCGGGTTCTAGTACTGGTCATACTGGTCAGGGTGCCAGTTCTGTCCCGGTTGCTCCTCTTCCAGTCCAGCTCTCTGCTGTGGCCTGGGAAGGCAGTGGAGGATGGCCCAAGTGCTTGGGCCCCTGCACTCACATGGGAGACCAGGAGGAAGCTCCTGGCTCCTGGCTTCAGATTGGTGCAGTGCGCCGGCCGTAGCGTGCTGGCCATAGAGGCCATTTGGGGGTCGAACCAATGGAAGGAAGACCTTTCTCTCTGTCTCTCTCACTCTCACTATCACTCTCTCACTCTCTCACTGTCTAACTCTGCCTGTCAAAAAAAAAAAAAAAAGGAAAAGATAAATACTGTGAAACAGCTGAGATGAGGAACAGTACCTCAGTGTTTCTGCCCTTTCTCTCCTCTGCAGGTGTCACAGGACTTCCCATTTCTCCACCCCAGTGAGACGAGCGTCCTGAATCGACTCTGCCGGCTTGGCACAGACTATATTCGCTTCACAGAGTTCATTGAACAGTACACTGGCCATGTGCAGCAGCAGGTAGGTTCCTGTTCTCTGGAAAATGGATGAGAGTACTTCAAAAAGTTCATGGAAAGTGCACATTATGAGAAAATTTCATGGATGCACCAAAATGAACTTACCTTTTAATGCCATTTGTTTCCCACAGATTGTTCAGAATTACTTATTTTTTAAAAGGATTTACTGGGGCTGGCGCTGTGGTGTAGTGGGTTAAAGCCCTGGCCTGAAGTGCCAGCATCCCATATGGGTGCTGTTCTAGTCCTGGCTGCTCCACTTCCGATCCAGCTCTGCTGTGGCCTGGGATAGCAGTAGAAGATGGCCCAAGTGTTTGGGCCCCTGTACCCACATTGGAGACCTGGAAGAAGCTCCTGGCTCCTGACTTTGGATTGGCACAGCTCCGGCCGTTGCAGGCATTTGGGGAGTAAACCAGCGTATGGAAGACCTCTCTCTCTGTCTACCTCTCTCTCTAACTTTGTCTTTCAAATAAATAAATAAATAAAAAGATTTATTATTTTACTAGAGAGGCAGAGGCAGAGAGAGATCTTCCATCTGCTGATTCATTCATTCCCCTAAATGGCTGCAACGGCTAGACCTGGGCCAATCCAAAGCCAGAAGCTTCTTCCAGGTCTCCCATATGGGTGCAAGGGCCCAAGGACTTGAACTGCCTTCTCCTGCTTTCTCAGGCACATTAGCAGGCAGCTGGATTGAAGTAGAGCAGCCAGGACTTGAACTGGCGCCTATTCGGGATGCTGGCACTGCAGTCAGCGGCTACGCCACAGCACTCACCCCTATTTATTTATTTATTTATTGAGAGGCTAATGGAGCACTCCTTTCTGCTGGTTGACTCTCCAAATGCCTACAGTGGATAGGGCTGGACTGGGGCCCAAGCCAGGAGCTAGGAACTCAATCCAGGTGTCCCATGTGGATCACAGGGATCCAGTTATTAGAGCCATCACTACTGCCTCCCAAGGTCTGCACCAGCAGGAAGCTGGAATCAGGAGCAGAGCTAGGACTTGACTCCAGGCACTCCAATGTGGGATGTGTGTTGCCCTTGATTTCTCAACAATGTTGCAGTGGATTGGTTTCTGAGAGGAGCAGCGTGGTGGGGGCAAGAGGCGCAGAGTCACCACACAGACCCTGGGAGTCGGGTGAAAGCAGGCTTGAGGTGAGCAGCCCGCAGACTCGTTTATTACAGTTGGAACAACATCTTATATAGCCAAGACCAGCCAATCTGGTCAAGGAGCGGTCTATGCCCCAACCAATCACAGCCTGTTGCCAGGCAGGCTCTGTTGCCAGGTGGGTTTCAAAGCCATTCCTGAGTAACTGACACTCGCTTGCCAGTGGCCACCTTGGCATGGCCTTCTCATTCCACCACAGATGTGGATGTCTTGTTTTTTAAGATTTATTTGCTTATTTGAAAGCCAAAGTTACAGAGATAGAGGGAAAGGCAGAGATCTGATGTCTCACTGCCCAGATGGCTGTGATTGCCAGGGCTGGGCCGGGTTTAAGTCAGAAGCTTCATCTGGGTCTCCCCCATGGTGGCAGGAGCCCAAACAAGTGGGTCGTCTTCTGCTAATTTCCCAGGCCATTAGTAGGAGCTGGATCAGAAGTGGAACAGCTGGGAAACCAACCAGTGCTCATATGGGATGCTAGCATCACAGACGCAGCTGTACTTGCTACGCCGTAATACTGGTCCACAGTTGCAGTTGTCTTAACCCTTGTTGTAACTGTTAGGCCAGAAATGTGTCCTCCATGAACTTCTTTGAAGTATACTTGTACACCTCTAGAGGGCATGAGCTGTGTCAAATTTTCAGTGAATTCCCTGGTAATTCATATGAAATAAGTTATGCATTTTTGTGTCACTGGAAATATTCAAGTGATGGCAAGAATCTAATTTTTTAAAATTTGTACTTTCATTTTATCTGAAAGACAGAGACAGAAACAGAGAAAGATCTTCCATCTACTGGTTCACTCCCCAGATGCCTGCAATAGCCAAGGCTGGGCCAGGTCAAAGCCAATAGCCCAGAACTCAGGCTGAGACTCCCATGTAAGGGATAGTACTGGAGTCACTTGCTGCTTTTTTTTTTTTTTTTAAGGATTTATTTATTTGAAAGTCAGAGTTACACAAAGAGAAGAGACACAGAGAAAGAGAGAGGTCTTCCATCTGATGGTTCACTCCCCAATTGGCCGCAACGGCAGGAGCTGTGCCAATCCAGAGCCAGGATCTTCTTCCGGGTCTCCCACGTGGGTGCAGGGGCCCAGGGATTTGGGCCATCTTGTACTGCTTTCCCAGGCCATAGCAAAGAGCTGGATGGGAAATGGAGTAGCTGGGTCTCAAACCGGTGCCAATATGGGATGCTGGTGCTTCAGGCAAGGGCGTTAACCCGCTGCACTACAGCACTGGCCCACCTGCTGCTTTCTAAAATGTTCAGTAATATGAAGCTGGAAGTAGAGACTTAGCCAGAACTTGAACCCAGGCACTCTGATATGGGATGTGAGTGTTCCAAGCAGTATCTTAACCACTGTACCAAATGCTTGCCCACTGGAATTACTTTTTATATGTAATACTTTAAAAGGGCATGTCCCCTATTCATATAACTGTGGGTTTTTTTCTCACATGTGAATTCCTGCTTCCCCCAGTTCTAAAGATACCTATAGTACCTCTCCCTTTTTTTCTTTTTTTGAAAGTTAAAAAAAATACTCATTTTCTCTTATTTGATGATAAATTAAGACATTCATTTCTCTGGCTGGTTGTAGCCCGTCTATTCTGTCTGTTTCCCCTCCGTGTCACACAGTTTCTGAAGCTGTAAACGTTTATCTTCAGGAACTCCTGGTATCCCTTGCTTCAGTGTGCTTACTAACTCCTCACCCCAGGCTTCCTACCACGTTTGTGGCTTAATTCTGCTGTTCTATCTATGACCACCAGAGCCTCTTCTCCCAAACCAAGTCATAGCCAGAGATACTAGTCGTCAGAGCCTCAAGTCTGCTGTTAACCACATCACCCATATAAAACCACGTAAGAAGCTCCTACAGAAGCTTTCAGATATCCTGAAAGACAAGCTGTTGTTGTGTAAAACCTCTTGCTGAGAGTCTCTTAGCTCCCCATGCTGCTGTCAGATTCAAGTTCTTGATGGATTCCCAAGCCAGGCCTAGAAGGGGCATTGGAAGAATTGAGATAATTTTATTTGTTGAGTAAATAAGTAAAGGTTCCTCTGAGGAACTGTGCAGGAAGCTGAGCTATAGAGAAGAATGAAGTGTGGTTCCTGCCTTCTGGAAGCTCTCGTTCTAGTGAGGGGCACATTTGAATAGAGGAACAATGCAAGCCCTAAGTAGAGATGTTACGTAGGACAGCAAGGTGGAACTGTTCCCTTGGGAGAGTCAGAAAGGACTTTGTAGAGAAGCTGTGCTTGAGCTGGGTCCTTTGTTTGTTGCAAAGATGAGGTGCATCAGGTTTCAGGGCCTGAGCTGAAAAGTCAACTTCCTTTTGTTTGATTTCAGGATCACCACCCATCTCAACAAGGCCAAGGTGGGTTACATGGGATCTACCTGAGAGCCTTCTGCACAGGGCTGGATTCGGTTTTGCAGCCTTATCGACAAGCACTGCTTGATTTGGAACAAGAGGTGAGAAAGAGGAGATATAGGAAACAGTACTTCTGGGGCAACAAATTAAGGCCAGTTCTTGAATGTGAAATGCCCTCTGATAAGGTCAGGTAGTTAAAAATGTGTAATTCTGTAAGGTATTCTTCTCTCTCTGATCGTAGCTGAAGCCATGATCAAAATGGCTTACAGATTGTACCCAAGGCTCCTGAATAAGTTTATAGGGGTCCTGGCTTTGGTTTCTTTATCACCTATAAGTGAGAATTAATAATCTATTAATTACCAATTCTCTGTAGCTTAAAACTAATAATAAGCCCATTCTCAGTTTCTTTCCTAGCTGCATAGGTCAAGTTGATTTATTTTGTGTGTCACCCTAATTACATGTTTCTTATTGCAGTTCCTGGCTGACCCCCATCTTTCCATATCACATGTCAATTATTCCTTGGATCAGGTATGCTGACCAAATAATGCCCAAAAGGTCTTAGAATCTGTAGATACTTCTAGAATAACCTAACTTACAACTCTGTTAAAGGACTTTTTTCCTTCTGGATTGAGAGTCCAACATTTTATGTTTTGTGCATTTTATATGCTTTACTAGATCAGAACTATTCAAACAATTCCAAATTTAGTTGACACTTAATGTCATATGTAAATCTCCATACTACATCAGTATTGGTAGTGATGCCAGCCTCAGAGAAACTGCTTCCATCTGCCATCTAGTTCCTGTTCGCGGCCAAACCCCATGTCCAGTTGCCTTAGATACTGACCTTGACTGTGGTATTGGTGAGTTGATTTTTCCCCTTGCATTCGATTACACACCCTCCTCATTCTCTGTTTTGCAGTTCCAGCTCCTGTTCCCCTCTGTGATGGTTGTAGTAGAGCAGATTAAAAGTCAAAAGGTGAGAATTTCCTCTTACTTTCGTAAGCACTGAGGAGTTGTCAGTAAAATTAATTTTGCTTAAATTCTTTTCAGAGAACCCTAGTTCTCAGTGGTTTTTACGTGTTAGTTCATTCATCTGAGATCTGCTTACAGATCATGCAGAGTGTCAGAAATATAAAAATAGCATATGACCCTGTCCTTAAGAAGTTCCTAGTTGAGAAGGCAGAGTGAGTGTTAATAGGTGTACCCAAAGATGTTGTTGGATCAGGAAAAAATGTTAGGAATATTTGGAGATGAGAGCAAAGGGTTTTACTAAGGGTTTAGAAGTGTTGGGTAGGGATAGGCTTTGTGGCTTAGTGGGTAAAGCTGATATCTGCAGTACTGGCATCCCATATGGGTGCTGGTTCCAGTCCTGGCTGCTCCACTTCCAACCCAGCTCTCTGCTAATGAGCCTGGGAAAGGAACGGAAGATGGCCCAAGTACTTGAGTACCTGCATCCACGTGGGAGACCCGCATGAAGCTCCTGGCTCCTCTCTTCATCCGGACAAAGCCCTGGCTGTTGCAGCCGTTTAGAGAGTGAACCAAAAGATGGAAGCCTTCTCTCTGTAACTCTGCCTTTCAAATAAATAAAATCTTTAAGAATAAATAAGTATATGGAGCTGGCACTGTGGCATGGTGGGTAAAGTCACTGCCTGCAGCACCAGAATCTATATGGGCTCCAGTTCAAGTCCCAACTGCTCCACTTTTGATCCAACTCCCTGCTAATATCCTAAGAAAGCAGCAGAGAATGGCCCAAGTGCTTGGGCCTCTGCCACCTGTGTGGGAGACCCAGCGGAAACTCCTGGCTTTGGTCTGGCCCACGCGCTGACTGTTGTGGCCATCTGGGGAATGAAACAGCAGATAGAAGATCTCTTTCACTGTCTCTCCCTCTCTTTCTTTCTTTTTTTTTTTTTTTTTAAGATTTATTTATTTATTTATTTGAAAAGCAGAGGCAGAGAGAAGGGTCTTTTTAAAGTTTTTTATTATTATTATTTATTTGAAAGGCAGAGTTACACAGAGAGAGGAGAGGCAGAGAGAGAGAGGGAGAGGTCTTCCCACCCGATGGTTCACTCCCCAATGGCTGCGACAACCGGAGCTGTGCCAATCTGAAGCCAGGAGCTTCTTCCAGGTTGCCCATGCGGGGGCAGGGTCCCAAGGACTCAGGCCATCTTCTATTGCTTTCCCAAACCATAGCAGAGAACTGGATAGGAAGTGAGCAGCTAGGACTCGAACTGGCGCCTAATGGGATGCCAGCACTGCAGGTGGCGGCTTTACCCGCTATGCCACAGTGCCGGCCCCTCCCTCTCTTTCTATAACTCTGACTTTCAAAAAAATAAATCATAAAAAAAGTGTAGGGTATGGATCTTGAGAAGGAGAATGTTAATTCTTAGAAAGTAATAGGTTTGTATGGTTCATCATACATCACTGGGTGAAGCCCAGATGTTTATTAGTTAAATATGGCTATTTTTTTTAAAGATTTATTGTATTTATTTGAAAGAGTTACAGAGAGTGAGGGAGAGGTAGAAATCTTCCACTTGCTCGTTCACTCCCCCAAATGGCTGTAATGTCAGGGCTGGGCCAGGCTGAAGCCAGGAGCCAGGAGCTTCTTCTGGGTCTCCCACATGGGGTCAGGGGCCCAACCACTTGGGCCATCCTCCACTGCTTTCCTAGGCACACTGACAGGGGACTGGATTGGAAATGGAGCAGCCAGGACTTGAACTGTCACCCATATGGGCTGCGGACATCAAAGGCAGCAGCTTTACCTGCTATGCCACAACACCAGCCTCCCCTCCCCCCACACTATTTTTTTTAAGTAAATATGCCTATTTTTAAAAGGATTTATTTATTTATTTGAAAGACAGAGTGACAGAAAGGGAGACAGAGAGAGATCTTCTTCTTTATAGTTTACTCCCCAAATGGCTACAACAGCTAGGGCTGTGCCAAGCTGAAGCCAGGAGATCCATTCTAGTCTCCTATGTGGGTGTCAGTGACCTGAGCACTTGGGCCTTGGACCATCATCCTTTGCCTTCCCAGACACATTAGCAGGAAGCTGGATCTGAAGCAGTACAGCTGGCACTTTGATATATAGGATGCAGGCATTTCCCACAATGCCTTCCACAAATACACCTTTTTTTTATTTATTTATTTGAAAGTCAAAGTTAGAGAGAGAAGGCGAGGCGGGGGGGGCGGGGGGAGATCTTCTATCCGATGGTTCACTCCCCAGCTGGTCGCAACGGCCAGAGCTGCACCAATCCAAAGCCAGGAACCAGGAGCTGCTTCCGGGTTTCCCACGTAGGGGCAGAGTCCCAAGGACTTGGGCCATCTTCTTCTGCTTTCCCAGGCCATGGCAGAAAGCTGGATCAGAGGTGGAGCAGCTGGGACTTGAACCATCACCCATATGAGATGCCAACACTGTAGGCTGTGGCTTTACCCACTATGCCACAGCGCCAGTATGCCTGTTCTTGTAGCAAGTTTTATCATAGTCATTGAAAAGTTAGTCAGGATCAGGAAAATATCTTTTCTGGATTGAGTTAACAGGAATAAATCCTTCACGATTTAACATTAGAAGAAGGCTCTGCTCTCCTATTGAATTTACTGAATCGACCCATGTATTAAACATGTTTAATTCAGTTCTGCATGTTTTTAGGCTCTTAGATTTGTGCCCTTGCTTTTTGGGATGTTCACGTTGATGAATGTAATTACTTAATCAGTTAACTTGCCACATTGCTGCTTTACTTTTCTGCTGCATATGTATAGGTTTATTCATCCTCTGCCAGCAGAGCCAGTAGGGAGGTGCTTTTTGACCCTTCAAAGCTGATTGCCCTCATCAAAGACAACATCCAGGCACTGTGCGTGGTGCCTTATGTATATTATCATATTGAGTCCTTTAAAAGGTTCAGTAGGTTAAGGAAACCGAGGGTCAGCCGTGAAGGTACAAGGTAGAGTAGGGATCTCTGTCAATCATGGCATAAGGTTGCACGTCCACATTTGACTTTTTACATCCACTGACTGCAGGGAAGGAGAGGGGAAACTGAATAGAGGAATTGAGGTAGGTGAGTGTTCTATTCTGGCAGAATAGAGGTAGAGAAACCAGCTTGCTAATGCTCCCCAGAGTTAAAAAACAAGGGGCAAAAGTATGGGCTGAAGATGATAATGGGGACTGATTATAAACAGCCACACAGGTATGCTTTGGGTCATATAAATATTACAAAACTGGATTATGGTGATGATTGCACAAAGCTGTAAATTTATTATGGTTAAAATATTATGCTTAAAATGGGTGAGTTTTTAAACATGTAAATTATGCCTCACAGTGGTAAAAATATAAATAAATAAAGGAACCTGAAGGACACAGGCCTCAGAATTGGAATATCAGTATATTCCATGTAAGCAGTCTGAATAAGGCCTGAGCTTGAAATGGGAGCTTTGGTGTTCAGCCCAAATGATTCTGGTTTCCGTAGTGCATTGTTTCTCAAGTTTCACTGCACTGGAATCTTCTGGAGGGTTTGTTCAGACGTATTGCTGGCCCCGTTAAAGACTTTGCATTTCTAACAAGTCCCCTTATTTGAAATGAGACTGAGTGGAGGAAGGCGGTCCATCTTTTTGGAAACCAATGTAGATAACTGATGTGAGAAAGTCTATCCCCATTCTCTGTGAGGTTGTGCACTACTGAGTGAATAAAGAATATGAGTTTGGCCGGCGCCGTGGCTCAATAGGCTAATCCTCCACCTTGCGGCGCCGGCACACCGGGTTCTAGTCCCGGTTGGGGCGCCGGATTCTGTCCCGGTTGCCCCTCTTCCAGGCCAGCTCTCTGCTATGGCCAGGGAGTGCAGTGGAGGATGGCCCAGGTGCTTGGGCCCTGCACCCCATGGGAGACCAGGAAAAGCACCTGGCTCCTGGCTCCTGCAATCGGATCAGCGCGGTGCGCCGGCTGCAGCGGCGGCCATTGGAGGGTGATCCAACGGCAAAGGAAGACCTTTCTCTCTCTCTCTCTCTCACTGTCCACTCTGCCTGTCAAAAAAAAAAAAAAAAAAAAGAATATGAGTTTGTATTGCATGAACTGTTAAAACAGAATCCAGTTTGACAAGGCATATTTTGCAGATTCATGGTTGTCAGATCCTGGAAACAGTCTACAAACACAGCTGTGGAGGGCTGCCTCCTGTTCGAAGTGCACTAGTAAAGTAAGTCATGGCTTATTTGGTGGTGAGAGGTGGTCAAGTGACTTGACTTCTCACATGTCTCATTTTCAGGTCATTTCAGGTTTCGCTCAGGAAAGTCATGACCAGAGCAGAAAAAGCCCCATGAACAGAGGAGCCCCTGTAATCCTTAGGCTACCTCAGGCGTTGCAAAGGCAGGGTTATAAAGTATCAAGTATCAAAGCCAGGAATTTGCTGCCCAGATGACCTTGTGACAATCCTTTTTCATTTTGGAGTCCATTATCCTTGCAGGGTTTCCATTACATGTGTCAGATATAGCTTGTTATGTCTAGACATCTCTGTTATTTGAGTGAAATTTTCAAATCAAGATACTTAGAAATATTCATGCTTCGTAATCATAATCCTACTCGTAGGAATTCTATTCTAACAAAATTATTGAAAATTATTGAAAATTGGCACTGGGCCCCAAGGACCCATCAAGCATTTTTATAGTAATGTTTACTGTATCAGGAAATAGACCAGCAGTAGAAGAAAAGCCAAATAAAGATATAGTGACTTAATAGACTGTAAGGCTATTAAAATTATAAATACTGTAATACTTTACAAAAGTACTTTTTGTATAGTATTAAAAAATTAGGGCTGATGTGGCACAGTGGATTAAGCCAACATTTGTGACACCAGCATCTCATCTAAGAGTGCCAGTTCAAGTGCCAGCTACTCTGTTTCCAGTCTAGCTACCTGCTAATGTACCTGGGAAGACAGCAGAAGATGACCCAAGTACAAGGGATATCTGGATGGAATTCTTGGCTCCTGGCTTTTGCTTGGCCCAACCCTGACCATTGCAGGCATTTGGGGAGTGGACAAGCAAACGGAAGATGTCTCTCTGTGTGTCACTGTCTTTCAGCTAAGTAAATAAATATTTTTTAGAGATACTAAAAAATTATACAAAGTTGTATTTGTCTTACAGTTATGGGCACACACAAGTAAATGTACGATGTGATCTAAAGCCACCCATTAGATCTTCCTGTTACTCTCAAACTCATTTTTAAGAAAGAGACCATGGCATTAACCACAAATTATAATAAATGTTCTCTGAGGCCCTTCACAGTTCTTTTTATTCTTTTTCCTTTTTTGAAAGACAGAAGACAAACAGAGTAAGTTCCCATCTGGTGGTTTACTCCTCAAATGCCTGAAATAGCTGAAGCTGCAGTCAAGGTCTCTCCTGTGGGTGGCAGTGACCCAGCCACTTGAGCCATCACCTACTACCTCCCCGGGTCTGCACTGGCAGGAATCTGGAGTTGGAAGCTGGAGCTGGGACTTGAACCCAGATACTATGACATCAGATACAATTGGTCCAAGGCCAAATGCATCCCTCCTTCACAACTCTTAAGCTTCACTATTACTGCTATACAGGTAAACCCTCAGCAGAGCAAGGAGCTTTCCAGTACGTGCTTTAGAGACTTAATTTTCTATTATTTCTTTAAAACATAAGATACTGTTTAGATATATAATAAATATATATTTATAATATTTTTGACAGGCAGAGTTAGAGAGAGAGAGACAGAGAGAAAGGTCTTCCTTCCGTTGGTTCACTCCCCTAATGGCTGCTGCGGCCGGCGCACTGCACCGATCCGAAGTCAGGTGCTTCCTTCTGGTCTCCCATGCGGGTGCAGGGCACAAGCACTTGGGCCATCCTCCACTGCCTTCCCAAGCCACAGCAGAGACTGGACTGGAAAAGGAGCAACTGGGATTAGAACCCGGCGCCTCAACCGGGACTAGAACCCGGGGTACCGGCGCCGCAGGTGGAGGATTAGCCTAGTGAGCCACAGTGCTGGCCTATTTATAATATTATATAGATAACATATACACACACACACATTATATGTTTTCAGGGATCAGTATGTATGGTGCTTATGTATTGAATCTTCTTACTTGTGTGATTCCAACAAAAACAAACCAGTTAATGCTATATTAGCCAAAAAGAGACTATTAAATCCACTTAATTATTTTCAAGATCCATCAATTTTTTTTTGAAAGTTTTTTTAATTTATTTGAATGGTGGAGTTACAGAGACAGAAGACTTCCATCCGCTGGTCCACTCCCTAAATGGCCACAACAGCCAGAGCTGGACCAGGCCAAAGCCAGGAGCCACGAGCTTCCTCTGGGTCTCCCACATGGGTGCAGGGGCTCCAACACTTGGGCCATCCTCTGCTGCCTTCCCACATTAGCAGGGAATTAGGCCAGAAGTGGGGCAGCTGAGACTCAAACCAGCACCCATGTGGGAGGCTGGCACTGCAGGCAGCAGCCTGACCTGCTATGCCACAGCACTGGCCCCCAAGGACCCATCAATTTTTAAACTTACTTTACACAAAAGAAAGAAAAATAGTGTACTTATCCTCAAAGAATTATCTGAACATTTACTGAAATTTCAAACTTTAATATGTGGACTGCCAGAATGGAAATTTAATTGCTTAGTCCATCCATAAACATTTAAATTAAAATAGCACAATTATTTTTAACTTAATTGGTTATTTCCCTTATGACTCATCAAACTCTCAGGCCTCTGTTTATCTGGTCACAGTTGAAAGCATTTCCTCTGTGGCATTTGTGGGGTTTAGTCTTTTGTAAATGGACTTTCAAGGCTCTTGCTTTCCCCTCCTCAGAATCCTGGCTGTGTGTCATGGGGTCATGTACAAACAGCTCTCAGCCTGGATGTTACATGGACTCCTCCTAGACCAGTACGAAGAGTTCTTCATCAAACAGGGTCCCTCTTCTGGTAACCTCAATGCTCAGCCAGAAGAGGACGAGGAGGATCTAGGCATCGGGGGACTGACAGGAAAACAGCTGCGGGAACTCCAGGACTTGGTGAGAGTGCAGCAGGAAGCCCAGTGTGCTCCTGCCAGGGGTCAGAGAAGTTGACAGTCAGTGATCTTTTGCCTCCTCAGCTCATCCCGGCCTGGCAACCTTCCATCAGTTCTTGAAATGCAACTTTGGACTTTATATTAACTAATGTGAGACGGCAGAATAGAAATGTTTGTCAGCTTCCTTCCATCTCCCTTTTTTCCAGGACGGCCCATTAAGAGGTTAATACTATGTCTTGCCTTTGGGAACGATAACTTCCCTGTAGCTTTTGAATAGTATGGAGTTTTGATCAAACTTCTTAAAGTCCTCTTCGTTCATCTACCCCTCTACACATTCACTCACTCCCCGTTACAGCATCTCATTGAATGCCTGTATGCGCCAGGCTCTGTGCTATGTGCCACAGCTACATAGACAGATATAATGTAGTAGTCGTGGTTTAGAGGAAGATAACAGGAAGTAAACAGTTACTAGTGTTCTAAATGCTCTGAAAGAGTGAGTGTTCTGGAACATGATTTGGGGATAGAATCTTAGAATAACTAGAGAAGGCTTTTCCAGTGGAATTTATGTCTGAATTGCAGAGGTTGGAAGAAGAGGCCAAACAATGTCCTGGCCGAGGGAACTGATGCACATAAAGGCACAGAGGTCCTGAGGACATGGCTTATTTGGGGAACCATTAGTAGTTCAGTAGAAATGGTCAAGTAAAAGCTGTAGTGTTATGTGTACACTGAGGGATGAGGGAAGGAGAGAGACAAAGGAGGTGGCAGAAAGTGAAGCTATCAGGTTAAGCAGAGGCAGGATTGTAAAGGCCCCTGTCAACAATAGGAAGGAATTTAGACTCGAACCTGAAAAGAGTTTGGAGCCACTCAAGAATTTTAGGCAAGAGAGTAACACATTCACATGTCACATTTATGACAGCTCGTGCCAGATGCTGTGTGGAGAATCGTTTCTTTAAGATTAGGATCAGAGGTATATCAACCAGTAAAGAGAGTGCTGGGAATATTTAAGTGAGAGAGAACAGTGCCTAGACTAACGGAGGGAGCTGTAGCTGTGACTGTGGAAAAGAGAATGTGGAGTCAGCGGTGCTCGGGGTTTGCTGGGTATGGCTCTAGAAGGAAGTCACGATACTGCTCAAGTTTCTGCCTTCAGCAGCTGGGTGAGGCGAGAGGCTACGATACGGAATATGTATTGCTCGTGTTGAGGAAGGAAGATGGTTCAGTCTGGGCTGTTGGGCTTGAGAACTTGTAGGAACGTCCAGGAGGCTGAGACTCAATGGCAGCAGCAGTGTATCTGGGGTCCATGAGTGGCTTCAGGAGGTTCTCTGAGATGTTTACATGTGTACATTTGCTTTGAAAGTCCAACGCTTTTATGATTGCACAGAAGCCTCTGATCTAAAAAGATTAAAACTGTTGGGGTCTCCGTGGAGCTACAGAGATGAGTGGATATCTAAGAACGTGCAGAGCCGGAGGAAGAAAGGGTCTAGGGGGCTCCAGCATAGCAGACGTGTGTATGAGACCTGAAGAGAATGAAGACCAGCTCTCTCATGTACGAGTAAGGAAACTGATGGACTGCGCAGGTTTTCACTCAGTAGTAAAGGCAGAATGAGGGTTAAAATTCCACTGTTAAAAGAGCTACTGTTACTTCCGCTGTGCCGCTCTGCTGTCTGGAGATGGAATAAATCTTTCCCACACCAGCAATTTAAGGATTGCACAACTTCAGGATTAAAATGTCCACTTCTAGAAAGTAGAGGTCATGGGATGGCAGAGTTCCTAGATATTTTCTTATTTCCCATTTCTTCGTCCTTCATCTCTGATCCGGGCTCTTTCCTTGACCAGCGCCTGATTGAGGAAGAGAACATGCTGGCACCATCTCTAAAGCAGTTTTCCCTGCGGGTGGAGATTCTGCCATCCTACATTCCAGTGAGGGTTGCTGAGAAGATCCTCTTTGTTGGAGAATCTGTCCAGATGTTCGAGAATCAAAATGTGAACCTGACTAGAAAAGGTAGGCATCTCCTCGTCCAATCCACCACATCCCCAGGGGCGCCGTCGCCTGCTCTGAGATAGTCGCGGACTGAGGGCAGCACAGTCACGACACGTTGGCCAGAGAGGCCTGCCAGGGAAAGCCCCGCCCAGAACACCTCGCCTGCGCCTGTTCTGTCATCCTTGACAGCGCCTCCTGTTCTGCAGGCTCCATTTTGAAAAACCAGGAGGACACCTTTGCGGCAGAGCTGCATCGCCTGAAGCAGCAGCCGCTCTTCAGCCTGGTGGATTTCGAGCAGGTGGTGGACCGCATCCGGAGCACCGTGGCTGAGGTTTGCCTTTCACCTGAACGTTTCGGGGGGAGAAAATTGACTAGTTTCCCAGAAAACGAATGCTTGACTTTCTTCTTGAGACAGTTAGAGCTTGGCTTGGAGAGGATTGAGAGCTAAAGGGTAATAAGTGAAAAAGAAAATAGCATTTTGTTTTTTATAATAAAGGCAAAGCTGCCTTGAGCTTTAACTAGTTAGTGGAATAAAAGGGAGATCTTAATTTTATTTCTTACCATCAGTATTTTGAGTCTTTCTATAAACTTAGCGGTAACTCTGAGGAATCAAGAGCTTAGTAGTTTACTTATCTTTCAGAGTGGCTTTATAAATTTTGATCCAGAGGCAGGCATTGTGGCGCAGTGAGTTAAACTGCCACTTAGGATGCCCGCATTTCATCTCAGTACTTGGGATCGAGTCCTGGCTACTCCACTTCCTATCAAGCTTCCTGCTGTTGTGTCTGGGAAGGCAGCAGATGATGGCCTAAGAACTTGAGTTCCTGCCACTCATGTGAGAGATCTGAATGGAATTCCAGGCTTCTGGCTTTGGCCTGTTGCAAGTGTTTGGGAAGTGAACCAATAGATGGAATGTTGGTCGGTCTCTCTCTTTTTCTCTCCTTATTTATCTGTCTGCCTTTCAAATACATAAGCTCTTTAAAAAAATGAATCGTGCTAGGTTGGCGCTGTGGCGCAGCATGTTAACGCCCTGTCCTAATGCGCTGACATCCCTTGTGGGTGCCAATTCTAGTCCTAGCTGCTCCTCTTCTGATCCAGCTCTCTGCTACGGCCTGGGAAAGCAGTAGAAGATGGCCCAAGTCCTTGGGCTCCTGCACCCATGTGGGAGACCCAGGAGAGGCTCCTGGCTCCTGGCACAGCTCTGGTCATTGTGGCCTTCTGGGGAGTGAACCAGCGGATGGAAGACCTCTGTCTCTGTCTCTACCTCTCTCTGTAACTCTTTTTTTTTTTTTTTTAATATTTATTTATTTATTTGAAAGTCCGAGCTACACAGAAGAGAGACAGAGAGAGAGGTCTTCCATCCACTGGTTCACTCCCCAGTTGGCCACAATGGCCGGAGCTGCGCTGATCCTAAGCCAGGAGCTTCTTCCAGGGTGCAGGGCCAAAGGACTTGGACCACCTTCCACTGCTTTCCCAGGCCATAGCAAAGAGATGGATTGAAAGTGGAGCATGGCCGGCGCCGTGGCTCACTAGGCTAATACTGGATATCCACATGCAGATGAGCCCTCTCTCTCTTTCACCATGTATAAAAAGGAGCTCAAAATGGATTAAACTTAAATACCACTTGAAACTACCAGGAAAAAAAGGCGAGGAGATGCTTCAGGGCTTTGGAATGGGAAGAAGTTTCAGATCAGATCCCAAAAGCACAGGAAACAAATGTAAAAAACAAGCAGGATATCATCAAACAAAAGAACTAATGCGCAGCAAGAGAACTAGTCAATACAGTAAACAGCCCTATAAAATGGGAGAGAATACATGCCAATTATACATCTGACTAGTAATCAGAATAAGGGAACTTAGACAACTGCAGTAGCCCCTGCCTCCCCAAAAAATCCACATTAAAGAATGAGCACCCTAATCTAAACAGACATCTCTCTGTCGCCTCCCCCTTCTTTGTGGAGGAATGACACAGGACCCTTGCCGCTGTTCCTTTCGTCTGCTCGGGCCTTCCCAGGGTTTGC